TCCCGCGTGTCGCCTGGCAGAACATCTCGCTCGTCCCTTGCCGAAGTGCGACGCTCTGGTGACACCGGCGCTTGATGGCATGGGTGCGGCCACGGAGCAGTCAACCCACATCGGAGACGCGATGCTCCACGCGGGGCATGGCCAGCCCGTCCAGCGAAGAGCGTGCGCCGAGACGCGATGCTCGACGCAACCGTGACCATTAGCCAGGCCACGTTCATCGCTGTGTCGAACGGCTGACCGTGGAGACGCCTCGCCGAGATCCGCGATGCCCTCGGCAAGGAAGAGAACAGCAGGCCAGGCCGCACCCCGAGATGCAGTACTCGTGCCGGCAACGCCGCCCCAGCTGGTAGTTGGACGTAAGTAGCGTGGACGGCCGCGTTCCCTGGCCGGAACCTGGATCGCCTGCATCCGACGCTTCGGCCCGCTGTCTCCCGTCTGCCGCTGCTTCGGCTCCTCCCCAGCCACAAAGCCCACTGCCACGTGATGGTCGCCCGTGGCCCAATCGTGGCACGCCACCTCTATGGGCCACCACAGGTCATCAGCTGATTCGCTGACACTCACGCGCACATTACACGCGCCTTGCCCCGCACTTCCGTCGTTGTCGTTTTCTTCACTCATCACAGCCTCCTTTATTTCTCTCCATGTCAGTGCAAACTCGAGCTTCTTAACGGGAGCCCATCATAGAGTTTCCTAAAATTAACTAGAGGGGACTCTGGCGCTGCGATCGTTCAGCGACCATGGGAATGATGGGTAGTGCACACATTTGCCTAGTCTTCGTACTTGCGGGTGGCGAATATCGTACTTGCGGCTTCGTTTATTGCTGCGTTTAGGTTTTGTTTTGAAAGAAAGATTCAACCCTTTTGAACATCGGGACCCGATTCGGAAAGGTAAGTCTAAAAGAATAAGATGGTGAAGCCCAACCGCTGAACATTCACTAATATTTGTTTCGTGAGAAAACAGCTCTAAGCCACACGAACACACGCGGAGCCAAAAGCAGGCCAGAAGTACAAATAATAGACAAACGTGTGCACTGCCCATCATTCCCATGCTCGCTGAAGTGCCGTGCGTTGTAGCTCCCATAGACACTAGCGCCAGAGTTCCCTCTATAGTGTATATTAGGAAACTCTATGGAGCCCATCGGTCTTTCTTATAGTTCAGGGAGTGGTCGTAATGCGACGCCACGTGACGGGCAGTGCTGCTTGCGTCACTTCGTGCTTCCGAGCGCTTGCGCACCGGAGATGCGATGGACGTGTTGCCCATTCCAATATCACACGTCTGTCAGGTTTGTTCCTCCGTGCTCCTTCTATGTGGCTCGAAGCAATGCCACCGCTGCATCACTGCGCTGCTGTACATGCAGTAAAGCGTTGCAGTGATGCTTGCCCATCTCATGGTTGCCCGCATCGCACCGTGAAGGGCGACACACTACCTCAAAGCAACGTGTCTTTTACAGAGCCAGCGTGACCGCCAACATTGGGAACACGAGGAATCCCTATATACCGAAACGATTCGCATATGCGGATCCGTACATACAGAACGATTGGACTATACGGAAAGCCGTATGACGCGAAAAGTGCATCTTACGGCTAGCCGTATCGCGCGGAAATGTGCGGACATCGGCAGCTTACAGAAAGCGCCATATTGTGCGGAAAGATGCGGACATCCCCAGCCCATGGAAAGTGTCATACCGTGCGGAAATTTGCGGACAACGGCAGCTAACGGAAAAACCGTATAATGCGGAAAGCATGCAGCTATCTGCCGCATCATGCGAAAATCATATGGACGTCCTATAGATCTTGTGAAAAGCAAAATAAGAAGCCGTTCACGTTGTTTGCAAAGCTGTACTATGTAGAAATCGTGGGAATATTTTTTTTAATGTTGCACGAAGCTGAAATATGATTGATATATGCAAGACGCCGTCCCACGCATCTGCACGCAACTGAATAAAAATATTACCTCATATACGAAGTAATATTTGGGTATCACATATGATATCACAGATATCACCGCAGATATCATATATTATATCTGTCGCGATGCACTCCATAGGGGGGTTTTCCCCCCACATGACCGCAAAGTACACGCGATGGCAAGGTGAGAGCAGGTACGGCCTATAGAGGGGAGGATGGTGAATGGCTGCTGGATCGGGCGCATATGGCTATAGCATCGGTAAAGTATAGAAGTTCTCTCAAAGTTTCCACGTGTATATGTTTGGCGCGCGAAAAAAAAAAAAGCGGCATCGCCGTGCGAACGGTGCAGCTTGAACTAAGCAATACCTGAACTTACCTTTTATTCAAAAAAAGGCGATGGCAGATGCAGAGTACACTGCAGACTTCCGGATTGGGGCCTTCCGCATGTGCGGTCTCTGCCTAATCAAATTGAAGAGGCGGCTAATGGCATGACCTCTAAACGACGGAGGCGCCGCGAAACGGCAGCTTTCCGCGCCACATCAGGTTCCCCTTTAGACGGTGACGGTGAAGTTTCGTTAGAGTGACCTAGAATATAATCTAGGTCGTTCTGGGTACCGTGCTATTTGTTAGTCACGAAACTATAGAGTGACTTATAGAATACAATCTAGGTCACTCTACACTGTCGAAATTTGGGCTTGTTGGTGCATTGTGACGACAGAAAATAGCGCAAAGAAACGGGGACACAAGACGAGGACACACGGCACAGGCGCTAACTTCCGACATAATGTTTATTACCACCGCACACTCGCCTATATCACCAAGAAAAATAACATCACATGACATGAATGATGCGCACAAAAAATTAATTTCTTAGAAAATACAATTCTTTATCACTGAGCGTAAGAGAGGGAGTGCTGACGCACTTGGACCCCGGTGAAGCGATGGCCTCAGCCTCAATAATCTCTCTAGTAAGCTTGTCAAACATTCTCTCGATAACTGTGCATGCATTGAATATCGGCGCGCAGCCGCAGGATTTACAATGTATGGCCAACCAACTTCCCTGGCCGTTTTAGGGGCGAAGCTCCTTAAGGCGTGGACTGTGCGTCCCCTGTATGTAGCCACCTCTCGTTTAGTTCTTGCAGTATCCACTAGATGGCGGTACCGTCTCCTGTATGTCGCCTCCTCTCGTTTAGTTCTTGCAGTGTTCACTAGATGGCCGCACCGTCTCCTGCATGTGGCCACCTCTCGTTTAGTTCTTTCAGTGCTCACTAGATGGCGGATCCGTACATACGGAATGATTGGACTACGGAAAGCCGTATGACGCGAAAAGTGCATCTTACGGCTAGCTATGTATCGCGCGGAAATGTGCGGACATCGGCAGCTTACAGAAAGCGCCATATTGTGCGGAAAGATGCGGACATCCCCAGCCTATGGAAAATGTCATACCGTGCGTAAATTTGCGGACAACGGCAGCTAACGGAAAAACCGTATAATGCGGAAAGCATGCAGCTATCTGCCGCATCGTGCGAAAATCATATGGACGTCCTATAGATCTCGTGAAAAGCAAAATAAGAAGCCGTTCACGTTGTTTGCAAAGCTGTACTATGTAGAAATCGTGGGAATATTTTTTTTAATGTTGCACGAAGCTGAAATATGATTGATATATGCAAGACGCCGTCCCACGCATCTGCACGCAACTGAATAAAAATATTACCTCATATACGAAGTAATATTTGGGTATCACATATGATATCACAGATATCACCGCAGATATCATATATTATATCTGTCGCGATGCACTCCATAGGGGGTTTCTCCCCACATGACCGCAAAGTACACGCGATGGCAAGGTGAGAGCAGGTACGGCCTATAGAGGGGAGGATGGTGAATGGCTGCTGGATCGGGCGCATATGGCTATAGCATCGGTAAGGTATAGAAGTTCTCTCAAAGTTTCCACATGTATACGTTTGGCGCGCGAAAAAAAAAAACGACATCGCCGTGCGAACGTGCAGCTTGAACTGTGCAATACCTGAACTTACCTTTCATTTAAAAAGGTGATGGCAGATGCAGAGTACACTGCAGATGTCCGGATTGGGGCCTTCCGCATGTGCGGTCTCTGCCTAATAAAAGCGAAAAGGTGGCTAAGGCATGACCCCTAAACGACTGAGGCGCCGCGAAACGGCAGCTTTCCGCGCCACATCAGGTTCCCCTTTAGCGTCGTGACGGTGAAGTTTCGATAGAGTGACTTAGAGTATATTCTTGGTCATTCTGGGTACCGTGCTATTTGTTAGTCACGAAACTATAGAGTGACCTATAGTAATACATTCTAGGTCACTCTACACTGTCGAAATTTGGGCTTGTTGGTGCATTGTGACGACAGAAAATAGCGCAAAGAAACGGGGACACAAGACGAGGACACACGGCACAGGCGCTAACTTCCAGCATAATGTTTATTACCACCGCACACTCGCCTATATCACCAAGAAAAATAACATCACATGACATGAATGATGCGCACAAAAAATTAATTTCTTAGAAAATACAATTCTTTATCACTGAGCGTAAGAGAGGGAGTGCTGACACACTTAGACCCCGGTGAAGCGATGGCCTCAGCCTCAATAATCTCTCTAGTAAGCTTGTCAAACATTCTCTCGATAACTGTGCATGCGTTGAATATCGGCGCGCAGCCGCAGGATTTACAATGTATGGCCAACCAACTTCCCTGGCCGTTTTTTCAAATTATTACAATGTTCCCTTAATCGATCATAAAGACACGCCTGTGCCGTGTGTCCTCGTCTTGTGTCCCCCGTTTCTTTGCGCCATTTTCTGTCGTCATAGGTCACTCTAGTTTCGTGACTATGAATAGCACGGTTAAGGACTGCTGTACACGAGGGCCTTTTTTATTACAGCTTTGCAGACGAAAGCATCGGTGACGTCGAACTGGCTACCCGGGCGTGCTGGCCCTGGCCGTACAGGCCGTGCAGCTGGACTCGCACAGCACCGGTCCCGGTCCCGCGTACGTGGTCGAGACGAAGCCGCCCAAGTGCACCGACGAACCACCGCGGGCTCCGGCCGCGACCAGCGGTCGCCGCGATGCGCCTTCGGCACAACTCCCAGCTCATGACGATGCTGCTGACGGACGACAGCCGCATCCCAGGGCCCTCTCTTGAGGTTGGTGGCTTTGTGTGTGTGTGTGCGTGCGTTGATATGTGGCGAGTGCATGGGCACGTACGCACGTACGTACGGAAGTACATACATACATACATACATACATACATACATACATACCATACATACATACATACATACATACATACATACATACCATACATAATACATACATACATACATACATACATACATACATACATACATACATACATACATACATACATACATACATACATACATACATACATACATACATACATACATACATACATACATACATACTGTAATGAATTAATGAATCTGAGGAACGGACGCTCTGCTGGCAACGAAGAAGACGATGATGATCGGTGGCTGCAGTAGGAGCTCGCGCACGCCGTTCGCCATTAGCCAGACCTGCCTGTTAAAGCTCATTTTGCCAAGCTGCGTCTGAACTTTTCCTCGACGTACAACACCTCTATTTAAGTGGTGGAGGAGCCGGGGTTCCCATCAACCTGGAACTTCGCAATCGGACGCTACCCTCACCGTTCACCATGACTGCTCCTGGCCCTTCTCAGCTGCCTCACCAACGACAGTCTACTGTACTGGCGCGCCTCGGCAACGTGACCCACCAATTTTTCGCGGCAACGAAGACGTCGAGGACTGGCTCGTCGAGTACGAAATCGTTAGCGCTTCCAACAAGTGGAACGCCTGCGACCAGCTCACAAACGTGCGCTTTTACCTAGCTGATGTGGCCAGCCTCTGGTTCAAGAACCACCAAGGCGAAATTACCAACTGGTCCGCCTTCAAGACCACCATCTCCGCGGTCTTCGGCCGTCCCGCCGTGCGCCGGCTTCGCGCGGAACAGCGTCTCCGTAGTCGAGTCCAGCGCAGGGACGAGACCTTTACGAGTTACATTGAAGATGTCTTGTCCCTTTGCAAGCGCGTGGATGAATCTCTAACCGAACGCGACAAAATCAAGCACATCATCAAAGGAGTTGATGACGACACCTTCCAGATGCTCGTCGCTAGGAATCCACAGACCGTCACCGATGTTGTCCACCTCTGTCAGGAGTACGACGAGTTGCGTAAGCAGCGCGTCTCGACGCGCAGGGCCGCAGAAGATACGGCTGAAGTTTCCGCCCTCGTACACGACGTCGCTGCTGATCAGACCGTCTTACTCCCCCAAATCAAACAATTCATTCGGGAGGAAGTTGCACGTCAGCTTTCTCTTGTGGCCGAAGCATCCGCGCCAGTGACCTCGTTAGACCCACGTCTACGCCAGGTCATTGAGACACAGGTCGCGCAAGCACTGCCTCCATCGCCACCTGTCCCTATGCCGCTGACCTACGCTGCCATCGTTGCTAGACCCCCAGCCCCACCTGTCTCTGGCGCATACCGGGGCACCGGGTCCTCCTACCCTACGACGCTGCCTACATACACGGCACCCCATCCCGTTTCGCCCCCTGCACCTTCTGTCGTTAACCCATGGCGCACCTTGGATAATCGACCCATCTGTTTCGCATGCGGTTTCGTGGGACATATAGCACGCTACTGTCGCCGTCGCAACTTCCAGCCTCCAGACCATGGGAATTCTGCAAATTACCAGGCTGCCCAGAATCCCCGGCGACCATCTTCTCCTATCACCGACTCATTGTCCCCACGACGCCCCGTCGATTCTCGCCGGTCATTACCACCCCGTCGCCGATCTGTCTCCCCGATGCTTCGGCGCAACGAGCCCCGCTCGAGAGGAAAACTGACAGCCGCAGTTCCGGAGGCAAGAACTGCGTCGTCGTCGAACTTTCTAAGACCTCCTCTTTGTCCGTCCAACGAAATTGATGTGCTAGTAGAAGGTGTTGCTGTACGTGCCCTTGTCGACACAGGCGCCGTCGTTTGTGTAATTAGTGAAAAAACTGTGTCGCGATTTGAGAAAAGTTACAACGCCGCTTACGAATCTTGCTCTGCGTACAGCCACCTCCCATTTCATCGCGCCGACAGCTCAGTGCACAGCACGCGTTCTTATTCAAGATGTTTGGTACGCCGTCAACTTTGTTGTTCTCCCACGTTCATCTTACGACGTGATACTAGGATGGGATTTCCTTTCTACCATCAGGCTCTCGTCGACTGCGCTCGTGCTGAACTCACGTTGACGAATCCGTGCCTTGATATTGACCACCACAGTCCCTCGAAAGTGTTTGCCGCAGCTGACGTCCGCATCACGCCGTTGTCCGCCGTCCTAGTGCCTGTGTTTTCCCCTGCTGCCACTAACTCGACGCTCCTGTTCCAACAACTATAGCTAGTGTGCAACACCGAACCATCGTCCTCCCGTTTGCCGTCATCAACTTTTCCAATGGTTCGGCGGTACTTTATGCGTGCAACGTTTCTGCTTGCCCGTACATCCTGCTACGCGGTGAGTGTCTGGGAAGCCTCGAGACCTTAAATTGTATTTTAGAAGAACCGATCTATCCAGACAAGCCATTTCTACCGACTTGTGCCATTACACCCGCAACTGACGCTAATGAACCTATGGATGTATTCCGCAAGTCCATCGATTGTAACCTCACGCCTGGGCAGCAGAAACAGCTGATCAAGCTCCTACAGCGTTTCGAGCCTCGTTTGACACAATCAGCCTTCCTTAGGTCGAGCGTCATCTGTTGTACACCGTATAGATACCGGTCAAGAGACGCCATTACGGCAGCGTCCATATCGGTTGTCAACTACCGAACGCCGTGCCATCAATGAACAGGTTGACGACATGCTGACACGTGGCATAATCGAACCGTCAAGCAGTCCCTGGGCCTCTCCAGTTGTGTTGGTGAAGAAGAAGGACGGATCCATCAGGTTTTGCGTGGACTACCGGCGTCTCAACCGAATCACGCGCAAGGATGTCTATCGCTGCCACGCATTGACGATGCCTTGGACTGCCTACAGGGAGCCGAATTTTTCTCTTCTTTAGATCTCCGCTCTGGATACTGGCAGGTACCCATGGCAGAGGCCGATCGTGAAAAAACTGCTTTCATCACACCCGACGGGCTTTACGAATTCACAGTGATGCCCTTCGGCCTCTGCAACGCGCCAGCTACTTTCGAGCGGATGATGGACCTCTATCCTTCGAGGCCTCAAATGGAACGTTTGCCTTTGTTATTTAGATGATATTGGTCGTCTTTTCAACTGATTTTGCAACCCATTTTTAACCCGCCTCGAGAAAGTCCTCGCGTGTATTTCTGCCGCGGGGCTGCAACTAGAATCTGAAGAAGTGCAATTTCGCCGCTCGAAAGCTACGATCCTTGGCCACGTGGTTTCAAAAGACGGCATTCTTCTGACCCTGCCAAACTTACAGCCGTTTCAGCGTTTCCCAAACCGACCACCATGAAAGAGCTCCGAAGCTTCATAGGCCTTTGCTCTTACTTCCGGCGCTTCGTCCGCAATTTCGCGACGATCATCGCTCCTTTGACCAAGCTCCTCGCCGGCTCCAGAGACCTTTCAGCCTGGTCCGCCACCTGTGACGACTCTTTCAATGAACTGCGCCGCCTCCTCACGTCGTCGCCTATTCTGCGACACTACGACCCATCGGCACCCACAGAGATCCACACCGACGCTAGTGGTGTCGGGCTAGGCGCTATTCTTGCACAGAAGAAAGACGGCTTCCAAGAGTACGTGGTTGCCTACCGCAAGCCGAACTCTTAGCAAAGCCGAAAGCAACTATTCTGTCACCGAAAAGGAATGCCTCGCCATTATTTGGGCGATAGAAAAATTTCGACCTTACGTGTACGGGCGCCCTTTTGACGTCGTGACTGACCACCACGCCCTCTGCTGGTTGTCGTCATTGAAGGATCCAAGCGGTCACCTCGCCCGATGGCATTACGCCTCCAAGAATATAATATTCGCGTGGTCTATCGCTCCGGCCGGAAACATTCGGACGCAGACGCCCTATCCCGTTCGCCTCTACCCCCCTGACCCGGACTGCTGCGAAAGTATAACCTGCGATGCCACTGCCGTCACCATCGCCGACATGCCATCTGAGCAACGCAAGGACCCTTGGGTTGCTTCGATCTAGACATCCTGGCTGGGCGGACGGCTTCCCCCCCTTCTCGCACGTTGCGTCGGCAAGTGGAGCACTTCGCCACTCGCGACGACGGTGCTGTACCGACGCAACTACGCCACCCGGTGGACGTCAGTGGCTACTCGTGATTCCACGTCATCTGCGATCCGAAATTTGTTCCACGTTTCATGACGACCCCCAATGTGGCCACGCAGGTTTCCTGAAGACTTATTCTCGCATACGTCTCCGATATTACTGGCGTGGCATGTACCGTTTTATACGACAATACGTTCGGGCCTGCTCGACGTGCCAGAGACGAAAAACTCCCCTTGTCACGCCAGCGGTACCTTGCTACCCTTACCATGCCCATCTCGACCATTCGACCGCGTCGCATCGATATCTAATGGTCCCCTTCCCAACACTGCTGACGGTAACCGCTGGATCATAGTTGCCGTCGACCATCTCACGCGGTATGCCGAAACTTCATCCCTTCCCTCGTCTACAGCAAAAGACGTTGCGACTTTCGTTCTTCACAACATCGTATACGTCATGGAGCACCTCGGGAGTTACTGAGCGATCGTGGTCGCGTATTCTTGTCAGACGCCATCGCAGCATTTCTGCGTGAGTGCCACGTCGTTTCACCGCACTACAAGCGCTATCATCCCCAGACCAATGGAATGACCAGAGCGCTTCAACCGCACCCCTTGGTGACATGCTGTCTATGTATATCTCGTCAGACCACTCCAATTGGGACCGAGTGCTCCCGTGTATCACGTTCCGCTTATAATACCGCCATTCAAAGCACTACAGGGTTCTCTCCTATTTTTCCTCCTTTACGGACGCGAACCTTCTTGCACTATGGACACCATTCTTTCGTACAAACCTGACTCCTCCAGAGTCCACGACCTTTGTCTCAAGCCGCTACATACGCTAGGAATGCCGCCAACTGGCAAGAGCATTCACAACCCAAGACCAAGGACGCCAAAAGCACCACCATGACGCATCAAATAACACCACTTCCTACGATCCAGGTTCACTCGTCTGGCTGCATGTTCCCTCTGCTACACCTGGCCTTTCTACCAAGTTGGTCCCCAAGTATCACGGCCCATATCGTGTGCTACAAAAAACGGTCACCCGGTGAATTACCTCATCGAGCCACTGGAACCAATTTTCTGACCAACGTCGTCGTGGCCAGGAAAGTGTCCACGTCTCGAGACTTAAGCCCTGCTACGAACCCTCCCGTGGTTACTTGTCCATAGGTCGCCAGGATGGCTCCTTATTTCGCGGGGAGTAATTGTAATGAATTAATGAATCTGAGGAACGGACGCTCTGCTGGCAACGAAGAAGACGATGATGATCGGTGGCTGCAGTAGGAGCTCGCGCACGCCGTTCGCCATTAGCCAGAACCTGCCTGTTAAAGCTCATTTTGCCAAGCTGCGTCTGAACCTTTTCTCGACGTACAACACCCTCTATTTTAATACATACATACATACATACATACATACATACATACATACATACATACATACATACATACATACCAATAATACATACATAACATAACATACATACATACATACATACATACATACATACATACAACATACATACATACATACATACATACATACTATATAATACATACTGCGGGCATTTAGTACGCCATCCTCTTCATCTGTACATTATCATCATTATCATGTGTTGCTCATGCATCCTCATCGTTGTCACGTATAGCATCATGTTGTATCTCTATAGGTTCAGATACCTGTTCTTCCTATTGATAACTACCTTGTTACTTTTATAGATATCCTTTAGAAGATTAGTTATTCCATCTTCCACATCTAGAGTGTGTCCAGTATTCCCCACAAGTGTTCTTGAATCACACTATCGTATCGTAATCTCCCTAGATATCTAGAAATGCCAAGCACAGGCGTCTGTGTTCGTTTTCCGCTGTTTCAGTACACTGCATCAATGAAAACAGATTGTCCTCCAACCTCCTTCGTTTACGGAACCCATTTTGTAGTTCTCCCAGCATCACCCGCCCCCCATTCTCCACCCATGTCGGTAGTCTTTCCTTTGCTATCTGCATCACCAGCCTGTAAACTACTGATGTCGCTTTTATAGGACGGCAGTTGTTTATATCAGCTTTGTCCCCCTTTTCTTTATAGATCATGCTCATCCTGCTTAGTTTCCACCCATTGGGAGCTTCACCATTCATTATTGCTTTGCTCGCGGCCTCTCTTAATGTTTGCTTATAGTTTGGTCCTGGTTTCTTTATTAGCATGATTGAGATGCCGTCAGGGTCTGTTGATGTGCTATTAGGAACTCTTTTCTCTGCCCTTTCCCAGTCTCATTGTCCCAGTGGAGCCACTGAGCTAATTGGTCCATCCTCATCTGGTACGGTACATGCAGCGCTTTCTTGGTGCTTAAATTTTTCTGTCATGATTGTTTTTATATATTCTATTGCCTCATCCCCTTCTAGTTCTGACCCCTTGAACTGTAGTTATGAACCTCTGTTTCATGCTTGTCTTATTACTCAGAGAATCGAGATGGTTCAGAAACTTTGTAGCTGCCTTTCTATCCTTTTTGTTTACTTGTGCCATCCATTGAGCCCCATTTCTTCTAATCTTTTCGCTGATCAAATCGGACCCTTTGCTTATGCAGCTCAAAAAGTTATCCCATTTTCTTTTGACATCATCTTCCGGTTCACCCCTCTTTTTAGTGTACCTGTTGTTCCATGGAGGCTCCCTGACGTCTTACTATGGCTCCCTTAACTTCCTCATCCGACCAGCTCTTGGGTTTGTGTCTGCTTTTCCCTGTTTATTTGAGTCGTACCTTAGCAAGCTTTAACTTAAACAATCGAGTTAGATTTGTGTATGTCTATAGTAACTCTGTTTCAGTATCTTCGGTGATTATTTTCTCAATCTCTTTAGTTGCTGTTTCTATTTGCCTTTCTGAATAAATATTACCGTGTGGTTGCTCGTTATGCCGCCTTTCAAATTTTATTTCTCTTCCAAAACTCAACTTGATACGTTTGTGATCATTACCTAACCTTCAGGATCCATATTCATCAATGTTCATCACCCTTAGCCGATCATACATCTTATGAGACATTATTGCTTAGTCTGTCGTTCACTGCAACCTTCTCACCTCCCATGTTATCTGCCCTTCGCATTTCTCGGTGCTGTTGCAAATGATTAAATCATGCCTTTCACACATATACATTAGCGTTCTGCCTGTTGGGTCAGTATATCCTTCCATATCTTCCATGTGCGCATTCATATCTCCTAATGTAATTACCTCGCACTGTTCTCCTAGTTCGTCGATGTCATTTCCTGTGCACTGCACAATTTGTTGATTTTGCTCCCTGGCTTTTGCCCCTGTCCACAAGTATACAAAACCCAGGAGCGTCATTTGCCCTGCCACTTTCCTTTTTAGCCATAAATGTTCCTTGCACTCCTGCTTGACCCTTTGCCATTCTGTACTTTCATGAATGAATGCCCCAATACCACCCCTCTTTCTGCTGCCTTCTGTTCGATTACAATATTCCCACGTGTAGTCCGGATTGTTAGGAGGTTGTTTCATGTCCCTAAGGTGTGTTTCTACATAACCATACACCATCGGCCTCTCTTCCCTTAGCTCTTCTTCTATCTCTTCCCACTTCAGCCTGTTCCTGCCACCCTGCATGTTAATATACCCTGCGTCTGAATTGGCTCGTCCCTCGTGGCTACATCGATTTCTGCCCCTGACGCTACCGATCTTAGATACTGGTGCCACTTTGGAATCGTATCTGTCCATGCCACTTGTCAAAGAGTCTCCCTGGTTGTTTTCCTCGTTACTAGCTATCCTGCACCCCAAAGGGCCCGCGTGCCCCCCTCCTCAAAAAAAAAAAAAAGCTACTGCGCGTCCTGCAAGTCGCCAACCCACCTCATGACCTAGCCGGTCATCGAAGTGAATTCTGTCTCGTTGAAAACCACCCCACCTATGCACCTCTCTGTTTATTTCCACCACCTCGAAGCCTTTCTCTCGCCTCGTCCGCCATATCTCTTGGTTTGCGTTGACAACCGCTTTTTTGCAGGTTGCCGTCACACACTGGTACCTCCGGCATCGTGCATATCACTACCTGTACCCGAGGAGAAATGGCGCGCATGTCATCGACCCCTTTCGCCAGTGTGGTCGCTATAGTCCTGCCGTATCTCCATTTAAGATATTGTTCAGAGTGCCTGCAATTATCACGAGGGAATCAGCGGACAGTAGCGCCATCTGAGAGTGGCCACACAAAATACTGATAGCACGTTAATAGTCGTTTTTTTTAACAACAGGTGGATCGACAATCTGCACGCTCCCGACGTCTGGACTAATGGCGTGCCCGGATTTCAATGCATGGAGCCTACAGGGAGTTTCGCTACTCGTCTACTCTACTCATATCGGCTGCTCACGAGTTCGGCTGACATCGGGCGTCGCAATTTCCGACAATCTCGAGCAGGACGCCATGACGTGGTGTTTTTTTTTTTGTCTTTTGCGCCACTTGTGCGTTGTCAGCGACGATCTATTTTCGTGTTCGATTGGGGCATCAGGTGAGGACTCGGTGTTTCGTCTCGTCGAGGTCTGCGCGTCAAACGCGTGAACTGTCGGCCGTGCACGAGCTTGTTGGTGTTAAATTTTGTTGCAATCCGCAGACTTTGGTGGTGTTGGCCAATATAAGGGTACATATCCTCCATAGATTGGCCAGCAGCGTTGCCAGATATTATTTTTCGTATGGTAATTTCCTTCCTACCCGTGGGGTAGCTAATTGAACATAGTTAATCTCATCACCTTTCGTGCACTCTCTTCGAGCATGTTAAAGTCCCACCCCCCTCCCCTCACGCCTTCCCGGCTACACTCTAAAGAAATGTCGAGTAAAAAGGGTGTCTTTTTTGTCCCGCAACAATAATCGTCATCGGGCTAGCGAGCGCTTCCTTTCTTGAAAACTCGGCGCTGGCCACTTTCCCATCGAGAATGCAATGTAACCCTGATAATGGGCATGTCGATCGTGACCGGAATGTACCGGGCGCGGGGCGATAGCGAAAAGATGGAACGCAATATAGAGGACGATTATTGTTGTGGGACAAAAGGACACCCTTTTTTACTAGCTCTTTTTTTAGAGTGTAGGTCATAGTGCGTGCCTATACCTCTGCCAACGAAACTCGGGGGGCGTAGTAACACGACTGCTTGTTTCTCCGGACGCAGGACTGGTCGAAATCGTATCAAGTTCTGCTGACAAAGCGCACCATTCTCGAGGAGAGGGTTCGAGCCGCGGAGCAAGAGATTCGCGACATCCGATCGCTGCACGAGGCTAAGCGGAGCCAGTTGCTGAAGGACGCGGAGAAGTTCCGCGCCGACCTGCTCAAGTGCGGCCAGGAAGAGCACCTGCGAAAGGTATACGCGCGCGCTTGCGCGCGTTACTTTCCCGTAAAAGGCCTGACCAAACGCACGCGTCGGAGCGCGTCGGCGTGCGGAATGTTGACGTGGCGGCGCAGCGCCCTTGTCCTTGTGAAGAGAGTGGTGGGCGCGCAGCACTGCGTTCGCCACGCGCCCCTTCCCTGGAGAGGGCGCTGCGCCGCGTCGTAAAGCCCCACGCTGAAAACGCTGCAACGGACGCGTGTGGTGAGGCCAAGGAGGATTTAAAAAATTGCTGGAGTGGAAATGATTGCGCAGAAGTGAAGCCGTTCCTCTGGCAGTATGGCGGTTGTGGCGGCCATCTTACTAGGGGCATGATAAAGGATCACCGTTCAGCGATTAAAAATGAAGCGTCTCCCTCGCACGCCCAACAAGTTTAATGAGGGAACTTTTTCGGGTCACATAGTGCTCCAAGTGCGTTTTACAGTTACTAGTTTTCCTTAGTGAGCTCGTAATTGGAGGGAAAGTTCTTTGAGGATTCAGTTATCCATACTCGTTTCTGCGTGTTATTTCATCGGGAACAACTATCTTTTAATATAGGACTAACATAGCATTTACATAAAATATCAAAGCCACTTGATCTTTAAGTAGCCACTATCAGAAAAGAACATGTTTCCGCCATCTTGGCTGTGGCAAAAGGTGGCTTCACTTCTGCTGGCAAGGCATTGCGGGAGCTTCCACTCCAGGAATTTTTCTTTAATCCACCTTGGCTGAGGCCTTAAGACACGTGGGCGGTGCCATCTCGGGCTGTTGAGTCGACGTTTTTTCAAGTTTTTTTTTTTAATACCGCGACGTGAAATAAGAAGGCCACGAAACATCGCATGCACCAACCAAACTGTTTTCGTGTCGATGCGAATGCGTCAATCGTAACACTGTGCGTTTATTGGTCGAAGGTGTGAAGAACACGAAGGTTAACAGCCCAGTGTGGCGGCTCTCGAATCCATCCGTAAAATAGTCTATATATATCTCGGATGATTCGATGAATCAACGAACGAGGACATGCTAGACAAGTGGCGGATTCAGAGGGCGAGGGGATCAGGGGTGACCACCTCCTCCCCCAAAGGCTGTGAGCTCACCCCCCCCCCCCCCCTGCCCATTCAATTTCTATCTTTTTGCTGTCCCGGTCCTCTGCGGAACTAAATTTGCGATTGCGGCCCGGTACTCGATGCGAGTTTGAGGTTCCGGTTCTGGAGGCATGCATGCTGAGGTACCTGCAACTCCGGATTATCGTATACGTGAACGAGAGAGTGAACGAACCGATCTCGCGCAATGATCTAATCCGTCAAGAACGATGGGATATACGGGGGATTAGTTGCGTACTCACTTCGAGAATTGTTTTCTCTCGTCCCGGCAATCGCGCTGGCTGCTACACATGGAGGAGGAGGGGGGGGGGAGTTGGCTCGGAGGAAAGAAGTTGTTACGTCATCGCGCGTCATGAAACGCAATCGCTTTAGGCCTGGCCACACGTGCGCGTTGCAGCTAGTGGGTGAGCGAGAGAGAGAGAGACAGAGCGCCGGTACGCAAAGCTCAGCCCCTCCCCTATTTTTTTATACGAGGACAGGCTCAATTTTGCGCAGCGCCGTTCACCGCCCTAGCGGAGAGAGGGCGAAGCTCCACTCACTCGGACGGGCCGCGCTGGCTGGGTTTTCCCCATTTCGCGCGCGGAAAACGTGTTTCCTTAATTGGAGTGCTTATCTCGCATTTTGCACGCTATCTCGCAACGCTCCTTCGTCTTTCTGGAAAGCAGCACTGCACTGCATTGCGAACTGCTACAAAAGTTTAAACGTGACGAAGACCTGCTGAACTCCGCCCGTCAAGTTCTATACCGTTTCTTATGCGAGCAGTGCGAGGAGCAAAGGCGTCAAAAGTGGATTATGACAGTTCGCCGATACTCCGCGGTCTCGTTACTTTGAAAAATTTTTAGGGGCGAAGCTCCTTAGAGCGTGGGCTGTGCGTCCCCTGTATGTAGCCACCTCTAGTTTAGTTCTTGCAGTGTTCACTAGATGGCGGTACCGTCCCCTGTATGTAGCCACCTCTAGTTTAGTTCTTGCAGTGTTCACTAGATGGCGGTACCGTCTCCTGTATGTAGCCACCTCTCGTTTAGTTCTTGTAGTGTTTACTAGATGGTGGTACTTGTAGCTGATGATGAAAAGATGCAAGATGTTATAAACTAGAAAGCGGTACTTGTAGTTGATGAAAGACGCGAGATCTTAGAAAATAGGAATGATGTCACATATGGCGCGTGTCATTGGTTGAAGGCAATCGTTCGATTTAGTGCGGCGACGTACGCTAGGGGGAGCGATGTAATAAAATCGAGTGGGCAAAATGTACAGAGGATTCATGGTTTACCAGGTTTACCTCCGGAGCTTCGCCCACTCATCATCATTCACTTCGTGGATATGGCGGCACTTTTTTTGTGGTGCACAGTACTACAAACTATTAATTAACTTAAAAAACGCGATGGCAGGACTCATAAATAAATGAAAAAAGTGTTTAGTAAACTGAAACTACAGCAAATACACAACCGCTGTACATTTCGCGATCGGGCCCTGGCTTTCCGACACAACCATCTGTAGTGTGAAAGCGGTGGAGCTTGCTGGCTTAATACACTTAAAATACCGTACTGTGAACCCTGAAAGTGTTTTATTCAACTGATGGCTGTAGATTTCTCGTCGCCGCTCAGTGTAAACAGATTCAGTGTGCCACGAGTTCGCAATGAGCTTTTATACGTGCAGGCCTTGCAAGCAACACCCACCGACAAGTTAGCATAATCAGGTGTTGTGCTGCTATAGAATCGAAGTCATGAGTTCGAATTTCGCATGCGCCAACTGCATTTTCACAGGAGATAAACGCAGTAACAGTGCGCTCAGGTTTTCGTGCAGGAATGACAGATAGGGTGGGTTCATGTTATCAGGGGCAAATCTTGGCATAACCAAAAACATGCTCGATCCTAGTGGGTATTGTGGGATATGACGATGACCAAGAGAGCTATCGATTGATTGATATGTGTGGCTTAACGTCCCAAAACCACTTCATGATTATGAGAGACGCGTAGTGGAGGGCTCCAGAAATTTTGACCACCTGGGGTTCTTTAACGTGCACCCAAATCTGAGCACACGGGCCTACAACATTTCCGCCTCCATCGGAAATGCAGCCGCCGCAGCCGGGATTCGAACCCGCGCCATGCGGGTCAGCAGCCGAGTACCTTAGCCACTAGACCACCATGGCGGGGCACTATCTAAACAACCTACAACCTAATCGGCATTCGAATCAGTGAGCACGCTGCGCGTGATAAGGCGCAGATATTATCCGAAATGAACATGCCCTGCAAGGCATTGTCAAAGTGAACATAAAATACCGTTTTTTTTTGTGCGCATCATAATACTTTGAAAGGAGCTATGGCTGGACACGTGTGTCACAGAACGAGCGCTAAAGATGGGCGCGCCGCCAAATTCTTGCGATAACGCGCGAAAGAGACGCCGCGAGGTCAAAAGGAAAAAAATTGCCCGCAGCTTCCCTCGGGGGAACAGTGAGCAGGATGCGGAGCATATAATTGGTTAACGGGGTGTTAAAGTGCCACTCGTCGGGGATGTTGCGAGGCAAGCACCTAACGACAGTGGGAACTTGGATGGGAACGTTCACGATCTGGCCCTTGATTCCGTACTGTCCGTTGCCGTGAGTCAAGCGTCGTATACTCATGAACGGGAGTCGAGGAGCGATGAGTCGTTCTTCAACCGCGTTCAACTCGGGTAGATGTTCGGGTCGGCGCGGGTAGCGGTAGCCGTAACCCACGCTAGCCGAGGGAACTCGACCGGCAATCAACGACTGCTTGCACGTAGCACACACGACGTAGTCGGCATAGTCGGTGCCCTTTCCAAACGTATCGCAAAGAACCGACTACGCTTTGGAGTTGTTCTGAATGTTGCCGATCCGAGTTAAGTTGTTATCGAACCAAAGACGATCACACACCTTGCAGGTGTGGCCGAAGCTTCGGTCGAGGAAGTCGCGCTTGAAGCGAGCGTTGGGCGTGGCATACTGCTTGGCGCGCCACGCCGCTACCTCGGCGCGCTTGCGCTCGCGGGCAGATCGGGATCGGCCTCTCGTCGCCGACGCTTGCACTCGGCTTCCCGTTTTCGAAAGTCCGGGTCCTCTTGTCGACGCTTACGTTTCAAAGCGGCCGAATCCGGTGCTGCTGCTCGACGCTGACGTCTCTCAGCGGCTTCACGTTCTCTAAGTTTAGCATCTTCCGCTCGACGCCGACGTTTACGTTCGGCGTCGCGAGCTCTTCTCCGCGCTGCCTTGTCTTCGGACGACGACTTGGTTGCGGTTCCGCCAACACTTTGGCCGGCGCTGGTCGAAGGGACGTCGATCATTGCGACCTCGGACGTCGACGCGCCGTACAAACCAACCGACGAGCGGCAACTGAGCGAGCGAGCACCGACCTTGAGTATATATACAGCGCGACGGCGCATGCACTGTCAGCTGTCGAATGTTCGAGAAGGGGGAGAAGCGCACGCGGTGTGTAGAGGAGGAAGGGTGCACAGATGGTGGAGGAGTGAAGCGCGCGCGGTGTGTAGAGGAGGAAGGGATGCACAGATGGTGGAAGAAGGAGGAGGAAGCTTGCGGACGGCGCCGCACTACAAGCCTCGAGTATTAGATGCTCCGCATCTAAAAAAAAAAAGAAAACAAACATCCAAGGCTCCCCGGGGCGCGCGCTCTCCCCTCGGAAGCGTGGCTTCGCCGACGAACCTCCTCACCCCACATCGGCGGCCGAGCAAGCCCGCGAAATTTCTAGAACGAAAGAGGCGTGGTCACGCCGGGTTGAGTCATCAATCGCGGAGGGCATTCCAACTGTCTCGCCCCCTCCCCAGCCTTCGCTGCGTATCGCGCCGACGAAATGACGAGAACCTTCTGGAATCTCGCACGGAAGGTATTTAATCGAGCAGCCGAGACGAGAGAGCAGGAGAAGACAGAAGTTAGCGCCAGAGCGCGTAGGGATTCCGCCGTGTAGTCGGTGAAGGTTTTGTCCGTAGGGACAAAGCAGGAGAAGAAGAAGAGGATTTCCACCTGAGGGGTGAAGGCTCGAGCTACAGGCAAGAGCGTGTGTTTACCGCTATCGAGCGAAGACGCGTGGCAACAGCTGCGTGTGTGAAGCCGACGTGTTTCTGGCGAAGAAGTTTGAAGCTTGGAGAGTGGCCAATTGAAGACGCGAGGTTTCCTGGAAGAGAAACTTCGAGGGCGCGGAACGACAAAAACGCTGGACTTTGAGTGATTCTCGGAAGAGTATCATCCAGACTTTTGTTCCAAGAACTTTGGACTGGATAGGTTTTCTCTCTTTAGTCTTTAAGTGTCTTGGTTGTTCAATGCATGCGACTGCATTGTAGTGCGTATTGTTGTCTGTGTCCGTTGTTTCGAGAGTGGCTGATTGTACTGTGTAGTACGTTGTTTGATTGGTTTGATTGGTGACATATTGTATGCAACTATTGTGGAGTTTGCATTTTTGTGTATTGTTTTCGATCTGCCATTATTGAGAATATAATTTGTTTGTTTAACAACTCTCGGCTCTGACTTGTTCTTTGGGCCACAGCCGGCGTCCGCTGGCGCGCCAAAAAGGACCACTTCTAAATTGTCCACGCTTTCGTGGTGCGGTTCGGGGGGCCGATACCTCGGCCCTTGGAATTAGCCCGGCGATCGCCTCCCTAACTAACGGGACCTGTGTGACAACGTGCTACGCCCTTTGGGGGGGGGGGGGAGGACACCTGATACGCGTTCTCCTTATGGAGAGAGAGGGCGCGCGGACGAAGCTGTGCGCCTCTCTCTCTCTCTCTCCATAGGGAGAGAGCTCGATGCCACGTCACAGAAGGCCACACGCTGCGACGCGGCCATAGGCCCGTTTACATTGACCCGACGAGGGCGCGTTGAGCCGAAATAAACAAGTTTTCTGGATTCGCCCTCCCCATGTATAAGTGGACGCGTCGGGGCGGAGAGTCGTCGCGGCGAGTCCCGTCGACCCGGAGACAGGGGGTAGGTTCACCGAACTCGCCGCGCTCAGAAAGGGCATGTATAACCGGTCGCGCTGAGTTGACGGCTCGTGACCTCTCCCGCCCGTCGCGGTCTCTGCTTCCCCTGTCCCCAACACTCCGACGTTGCTCTTTCTCTGTCGGCTGTTACGCGCGCACTAGGCACGATGACATCCTCGCGGGCTCCACGCACCATGTGGACAGATGATGAAATAACGACGTTGCTAGCTTTAGTCAACGAGAAAAAACTGAGTGATTTGCTCGATAGCAAGCATAACAGAACGAGGACATCGTTCTGTTATGCGGTAAATGCAGATCACTTTTACGTTTAAATCTTGCTTGGCACGTCCTACGAGAGCTTGTTCTCACGACCGGCTATTTTGCTCTGCCCGTAGCAGGAAATCGGCTTGTGCGCCAGAAATCTCAAATACGTGCACATGAACGCTTTAATAAAGTTTCTGGTCATCTCGCCATCAGAATACATTTGCGTAAATTCGCAGAATTGTCTACTAATGCGCAGCATTCCAACTCCGCTTGCATTTATTTTGCGTTCTTCACAGCCAGGTTCGACTATGAAAAGGCAAATACTTTCGTGTATTTTATTCTTTGTAAGTTTTGTTTTGGGTTTTTTGCAAGTGGTGTAAATTAAATTAACTTTATCACAAAAATTAAGTGCCTTTACCAATACATGTAATTTCCCCCAGAGGAAAAGCGTAGTCCAGGGTTGGTTTCACTCTTTTTAATTCGTGTTTCATGAATCCCTGAACGGACTTAGGCATTTCGAACGTTTTTTCGGGTTTAGTGTTCAGGTTTTAGAGGAGATGAGGGTCGTTCCACGCCAAATATTCCAGACAGTACACTAGAACATCTACGATTACACTATAAAAAGTAATGGTTGGTCACTTTACTACACTATTCATTTTTGGAACCAATTTTCAAAAGAAAATTTTAATTTCTCAAATATGGTGGCAGTTAGGTTGCGACAAAACTTCGAAAAAGTGAAATATTATACGCAGCACGGTAAAACGATTCCAGTCGGTAGGAAAAGAACCGCATTTCCTTGTTAAAACGCATTCACCACTAGTGTATGTTAATGTGCTTTGCGGGGAAGCAATGCAGTGTTCTTGACCAAAGTCAGAAATATTTACAGCTTTTCAACTTTTCCTGAGAAGTTTGATACGAATCTTTGTTTTACGCGAGAAAATATTATTTATATTGAGCTGCCCCCAAGGCTGTCAACGGCGGACCGTAAGCGCACTTCACTGCACCGAGGGTTCCTCGGCAGCCTCCTAAATGCACCAAAGCCGGCTTGTTGATTCGTGCTCCATTTTCCTGCGCTTACCGCCAGTAATTTTCCTGCGCTTACAGAACCACTGCTGCCATCGCGTTGTGCAGTGTTAGTCAAGACACCAACACAACCATAAAGTACAGCTAGTGCAAACTGAGAAAAAAATACCAAGACGGGAGATGAGATAGCCATCGCGGTGGTGGAGCGACAACTGCGTAAAAAACCGCAGCCCACAGCAGCGAGAGGCGAGAGCGCAGGTTTGGAGGAGCGGAAACCCGTACCGGAAGACGGGCTTTCAGCTCGCCTCGACGCAAAGCGTCGCTGCGATCACCGCTCCCCTCAGCTCGTCCGTGCGAGTTCATATAAACTCGGGCGCGTCGAGGTAAGCTGAACCCGCCACTCAACTCAGCCCACCCCCGTCGCGTCCATGTACACGGGGCTCATGTACTCAGGCCTTTATAGATGGCGCGTCGTTGCAGCATTTTTGATCCCGGCTGTGGCGGCTGCATTTCCGATGGAGGCGGAAATGTAGGCCCGTGTACTCAGATTTGGGTGCACGTTAAAGAATTTTAGGTGGTCAAAATTTCTGGAGCCCTCCACTACGGCGTCTCTCATAATCAAATAGTGGTTTCGGGACAATAAATCCCACAAATCAAATCAATTGCAGCATTTTTGTTGTTATTATTTTTCGCGGTAAACGATTTGCACGCTGAGAAGCGGAGCGGGCTTATATGGATGGCATGCCTTGCTGCGGCGGGTGTGTGCGCGCATGCGCAAAAAAACCACCGCGCGCGCCCGAACACGAACCGCCCTCACTTCTCACAATGTTTTCAGGAGGATGTGTCGCATGTGTGCGACGTCATATTTCGCAATCGAAATGTTTCATTATAATTGGTTCTCGGTGTTTTTTTCTTTTTTCGCGTTATCAGTCCATGATTACATACACTCTGACCGGCAAGATTTCGGTTGGACTGAGGAAAATAGGTTAGTAAATATTGGTTCCGGCTGCCTGTATAACACTTCAATTCATATTTCTTCCATTTATTTTTTCCTATTTTCAGGTTGCTCCTACGATGAAGGTCCATGGTGGAGTCGGACAATCGCCCATGCCAAGCAACTGCAAGGCGGCCTTCCGCGTCAAGTGCGTCCCTTAGTTTGGACGCTGCGTGCGCCATGTGTGCGGAGCCTTGTTTATCGCCATCGTTTCGATTAGTCGAGAAATAAAGTTGCACGCACGTTAAATGCTTCAGGCATGCATTCGCATCGGCTGCGGTGCTGCACGTGACGTCGCTTACTACGGTAGGAGGTCCCCCCCGAGATGGCCGCCGCTCGGTTTGAGCGGTTCCCATCTTTGGATACCTGCTGTCGCCACGCAGCGTTCTGTCAACACGTTTGTCAAATCGGAGCTTTTCGGCAGTTCTAGAGACTGTCCTGGGGCAACGCCGATCGACCGCCAGCTGAGAGCGACGTATGTCGTCGTACTGCAGTGAATCTGACTGGATCGGCGCGCATCCGACACGAATAATAGGCGCGAATGTGCGGCGGCATCCATCCGGACGTGCCACCATGCACCGCACGCCGACGGCCGCCAGCACGCTGCCCGGAGTATAACGCTCGGGGACATCGTGAACTACCCATAGTGAACACTCGTCAGGCTTCGCGACTCTGCAGGAACTGTGAAAGCCTTCAATCCCTCGAATGAACGAATGCAACAACTTTTACTGTGAAATCCAGCAAGTTGCTGGTCCGGGCTGGCAGACCGCTCGGATGGAGTATTGAAGACTCCCAATAGCCTCCCTGGCCTGGTGGATAGCCCAGGTTTGTTCTTATAGTTCGGAGCTGAGCAGCATTGTACGCCATCGCTCTTGGAGAGGTTCTGGGGAGTCTGTTCGCTTCTCGGGACACCCCCAGAGCATGCATGTGGCTTAGGGAGGTCGCTTGTACTTTACGGGCTTTACTTCATCGAGTCTGGGTAAATTGCTGGAACGCGACATTCTGTGTAACTGAGCAGGGCTGGGAAAAAGAATGAGTTTGTGATTTGCGCCGGTCTGTCGCCTGTTTTCGATCTAATTTTGGGTGAGGTGGAGGGAAAATACTCTTCAAGTCGCGATGATGCTTGGTATGTTCTGCGTAGCTGGAAATTTAGTCTTTTAATGCGGGTTCGATTTCGGCGGCAGCATCGCCCGACGAGGGGCTGCGCGGCGGGTTGAATCTCGCGACAGCGCATGGAACGTTTCGTTCGGTTTGTTGGTGGCCGCGTTTGTGTGCGCCGGGAACCAGATTAGATATCTGCGTTCCTCTGAACCCACCAGTTCTTGGTTCCTCGCTAGAATTTTTAGGGCACTTTGCGAAATGCGTCCGCACGCAAAATTCCCGATTGCGACCTGTGAGTCGCTCAGAATGAAGTTATGTTTTGCGGAAGTGAGAGCCATGGCGAGGCACACAGTTATTTTACGAGCAGCTGGGCCAAGAACGTATATAAACGAAGCGGCTCCAGGAAGGATACGTAGTCCTGCTCGGTGAGGTAAGCGCACAGACGTTGCATGACCATGCCGCGAGATTGCTGGACGCTTCAGGATGTTCATGCTGCTGCATGCGCTGGATCGCGGATTTCGAACCGTGGGTCCGGCGACCGCATTTCGACGGGGCGGAAACACGAAAAATCACAGCATATCCACTGAGAGAAGGATGATTGGTGGAGCGCAGCGTTCGTCAGTCTGTCTGTCCATTCGTTCTTGCGTCCGCCTATCTGTGTGATCCTTGGTGCATCCGTCCGTTTGTTCAATCGTCTGTCTGTTCGTCCATCTCTTTTTGCGGCCATCCCTCTGTCTGTCCATCCGTCCGTGTGCCCATCTGTCTGTCCGTCCGTGCGTGTGTCAGTCCGTCCATTTGTCTAGAGAAAACTCCAAGCACAGCCATCTCACATCTTTTCATCATGTATTCATCATATACAAGTGCCCCCATCCAGCAGACATTGTAAGGACCGCTATTTCGGGTATGTGCCACTGGTGGTTACGTTCTACGAGGGACGCACAAGCCACGCCATAAGGAGCTTCGCCCCCGAATTGTTGCAATGCTCGAATTTTGAGTGCGCGCTAAGAAAGGTCGTCCGTGGCCCTGTCTGTGTTTTTCACTATATTACCAGCACCAGAAGCGGTGTGCTCGTACTTTATAAAGCTGGTGTAGCCCTGTTTAGTGCTATGCAGACCAACTTCAGTGGATGCCGCTTAAAGACCAAACCCTATAACCGCGAAAAATGCTCGTGACAGCGACGGGCGACGTAGATTGTCCTCGCGTGAACAGTCGCTTGCGCAGGCAAACCTCATTCAAGCGACGGCTTCGGCGAGCGAACTCCACCACCGTTACTTGCATGAGGCCGTGCACTCGTACCAAGAAAATCGCGTAGTGAGCGGTATGCAATAAAAAATGAAATCTGATGTTGTCGAATACAACGGAGAGTGTTTATTGTTGCCTTCCCTGCTGAAACGATCCGTATGAGATGTCCAATAATTCCGTATGTTTCCGTAAGATTCTTACGGACATATATGGAAAATATATGTGAAATACATTGTAGTCTTACGGAAACATGCGGAATTATTGGACATCGCATACGGAACGTTTCAGTAGGAACGATCATAAACATTACGTTATTTCTTCGTTCTGCCCGCGTGACTCGGGCGGAGAGGAGCATGAGAGGAAGTGGTGGTTTCGTTCACGGCACATTGAGAGAACTGGCAGTACGTCAGTCATGTACATCTGGTTCCGGCGCTTTTGCGCGCAGCACTTCCGGGCGATGGGCGACGGTTTTTAAATCTGGCAAACCGAGCGATCGCACGAAAACTAATACCACGCGATACACGTCGCGCGAACGCCCTGTTTCGTCGCTCATAGCATCGCTCGTCGCTGTCGCGTGCATTTTCGCGTTCGTGGGGTTTGGCCTTAACTACGATTCACGTCAAAGGGACCGACTACCGTCCTTCGCTGATTGCTTGTTTTGTGTCCCATTAATAAAAAAAGCGTACGATCTGAACTGTGTAACCTCAATGTGGTTTCTCTGGAAAGTGCGTAGATGTTTTCGAAACAGAATTCTTCGATCAACGTTCGGTCTCCTTCCATCGGTGCGACGAATGCCCACAACACTGGTTGGTCGAGGTGATGACAGTTGTACTGCTGGTGAAAGTCGAAGGCTAAAGCCGCGTGTGGTCTTGTACGGGTTTCATCAAGTTTTATTTATTGTAAAATGAGTGCCTTAGTGGTCGTTTGTGGCAGGCACACTTTTGTTGTTCTTGTGGGCGGTGGCGGACGCCATGCTTGTGTTTCTCCGCCGTTTGTAGACAGGCATGCAGGCAAATGAACACACCGCCGACAGTGCCACCAGACGTCTCTTTGAACGCCGAAAGAAAAAGCAAAAACGTTAATCTCTGGCGCAGCCTAAACCTGCTTCAAGTGCGTAAAACACAATTTCAGGTTATACATTATAACGTACAGTGTGGCCAATCCCCCTTGTGGGTATGAGCCAAGATCTTCTAGGCGACAAGACAAGACATGTTTGTTTTTATGCAAAATGAGTCTACCTGCCAGGATTTCTTGTCCTACCTGTGGATTGGAAACATCGCTGTTGGGTGACGCTAGCGGTCAATTTTGGTCCAATTTCAACAAAAAATTAAAAATTATAATTGATTCCTTTAAAGAACAAAAAGCCTGCTAGTCGAGATGACAATATGTCATGAACCATCTTGTCATTTGCATCGCAATCAGAAAAAGTTTTTCTGAGCGGTACACAGTCCATTTAGCGTGACGTGATCCATGTATCACATTTTATGCAATTTTCATAAAGTTCGATAGCCAGAACGGCTTCCGCAATTGACCTTTCGTCAACTTTACGCCAGCACATGGTCCTTTTCCGAAGCATTTCCATGAACCGGGCGACTGGATCTTTTACTTGAAGATCCTGCCGCCCGGTTCTTGGCCGATCCCTTTTCATGGGTGTGCGCCAGAGTAACAAGGATCATCATCGTCATCAGTTCCGAGACCTGGACTAGTTCTGTGGTATGCTTGACTGCTGCGCAGAATGCTTGGGTTTGACTTTTTGACCCTGACACTTATTCTGCATTCATCGGGTAAACGCTGCTGATGTCTGTACTAATGTCCTCGCTGTTTTCAGATAGCTATGAACTGTCAATCATCTGTGATGCAAACCCACGCCCTGTGGTTTACGGGTATAGGCTACATATGTCTGAAGGCATGGGTCTGACGACGTACCCGACGGGATCTTCACGTTATTCGTGTCGAGACCAGCCAGACATATAATCGTCAAACAGTCTTACCCTCCGGACTAATCTTGATTGATATGTGGGGTTGAACGTCCCAAAATCACCATACGATTATGAGAGACGCCGTAGGTGAGGGCTCCGGAAATTTTCGACCACCTGGGGTTCTTTAACGTGCACTCAAATCAGAGCACACGGGCCTACAGCGTTTTCGCCTCCATCGAAAATGCAGCCGCCGCAGCCTGGATTCGATCCCGCGACTTGCGGGTCAGCACCCGAGTACCTTAGCCACTAGACCACCTCGGCGGGCCTTGCGGCTAATTTCGGTCTACCAACCTAAGGAAGTGATCACGTGAGTACCCAGGTGTAGGAGGATAGATAGATAGATAGATAGATAGATAGATAGATAGATAGATAGATAGATAGATAGATAGATAGATAGACAGATAGATAGATAGATAGATAGATAGATAGATAGATAGATAGATAGATAGATAGATAGATAGATAGATAGATAGATAGATAGATAGATAGATAGATAGATAGGAATGCTCCAAGTGCCTTCAGTACGAAAAGATAGGCTTCGCACTGCAATAACGAACCTATAAAGGTCAGTCAAAACTCAGAAGTCACGCGACACTCAAGCGAATGAAAACGTTCCCATCGGCGCACTGAATGTACCTCTTTCTTTTTGAATCAGCAACACCCCAGCCCACCCCCCCCTTTTGCAGTTTGTCTACTCCTCCTGCGTTGTTTCGGTTTGAGGGGAGGAGACAAATGCTAAATAAATCAGTGTCAGCCTGGCCACTTCTCTAAACCGTCGGTTGGATCAACCTATCCCACCCCCCACCCACCCTTGTTTCAGCAAAGAAGTGGTTTGCTGGGCCTTGGTTGGCACGACTCTCTTTCCACTTTCGTCACAGTGGCCTCTAGGCGGGGTTGGGCGAGCGGGAGTACTTGCCCCTTGTCCCA